TGAATACCAGTGACAAATCAGTAATTCAGAAAGATTTTGTGACTCATAAAATATATAATTATTCAAATCCCTACTGAAAAAAATGCACCAAAAAATTAATCTTGTGCTTTCAAATGTTTTTTAGATGTCTCAAGCTTTGCCATTCTAGCTTTTTACAAAGTTAATACTGAAATAAAGCATAAATATACATTGACGACTGGAAGAAGTTATCCTATAAATAATACAGGAGATTAAAAAGGCTATTTAAAAAAAAAAAGGGTGCCAGAGGATGAATACAGCTCAGTGGCAGAGCGCCTGCTCAGCATGCACAAGGTCCTAGGTTCAATCTCCAGCACCACCATTAAAAAAAAACAAAAACAAAGTGCCAATTTGCAATAAAAAACAGGTGCCAATGATAGTCTAGATAATGAAACTACATCATCAAATCAATAATTTATCTGAGGTTCTTGGGTTACCCTGAGAGCAGTGGGGGCCTGGTCTGCTACTTGCCAGTGACTAATCTTATCTGAGTTTGAAGTCTTTAAAAGATGAGCTCAAATTAAATGAGCGTCGTTCCCCTGAGGGCAGAGTCTTACTCTCTGTCATACACAGAGAGTAATATATTAGTCAATGAATTGAGGTATCCTGTATAACGTGTCCCGCTTTTTAAATAAATATTTAAGATTCAAGATCTTTTAGTTCTGTAGGGACCACCAGGGGACAAAACAGGATCAGTATATCCACATGCTTTGTTCTTCACTATCGGCTATACCACAACATTTTCTACTTCTACAAAATATCTTAAGACAATATTTGCACCTGGCTATATTTCTATTCTTTATTCTAAAAATTAACTTCTGCAACAATTTCTCTAACTAGGTTTCCAGAGATTCTTACTAAGGTTTAATTCTGCTTATCTGTCGAGTTTTACATGACCTCATGATATAATGCTCATTTAAGAGTTTCGCATCTAAGCACGCACACAACACATGGGTTATAATTCCTCTCTGTTCCCATAATTCTCTAACTTCATATGAGAATTGCAATAGGACATCACATTTTCCTCAAGAAGCTTCTGTACAGACAATTAAATTATTCTTAACATATGTTGCGTAATATTTTCATTTTAAATTAAATCCTGGTTTACAGAACCCAAAATATTCTAGTAAGCTATTTTAAAGTGCATATTAATTTTCCTTAACATCATATACCTCTACAATAATGCACATTTTTTGTACAAAATTAGTTTCCAAATAATTGCAAAGAAAAATAATGGTTTTGCCTTCTCCATTAAATCAACCCCAGCCCCCGAAAGAAACCCACACTGTATCAGCAAGTGTACCCACCGTCCAGTCCTCTGTAGCTCAGGCCCAGCGTGGTGGGCGGCCTCCTTAGGGGTCTCACCCGAGCTGGGTGCAGATCCATTGGGAAATACAGGAATCTTTCTCTTTTCCTTCATTTCACAAAAAAAACCACATTTTCAGAATTCTGCTTTGAGAAAGCTGAGAGCATATTCAATTAGAGGGAACATGAGATCTATTGATTATATATCTAACCGGTACTCCTATAAATAAATGCTTCCTAATATAAACTTCCACTTTAAAGAAACTGCACTTTGAAACAGAATCCAGTGTCTGTCTCTGTTAATATTTTAAACTTACGATTGGCTTTTTTCCACTTTATATTCTAACATCAAATATCCCATAAAACATTCACATACATCATTTCAAATTACCACTCACCAACATGAACATAAATATCCAAAAAAGCATCTAGAATTTTTAAAATCTTACTCATGTTCACTACTGAGAAATATATTTTACTAGGAAAAAAGTAAAGGCCATTTCTCTTTTATTAAAATACTTCCCTTCAGATATAAATAGCGCAAGGGCTGTTAAACACATTTTCGTAAAAGTCAATTTCCCATTAAATTTTATTCCAAATTCAAGAGTACTATTCTCATGACAAAGCATCTTCTCCCCCTCACCTGAGTGAGCTTTTGTTACCTCCAAATGTCAGAGGTCGCTGAGCAAAAAAAACAAAAAAACTGTGTGTGTGCGCGCGCGTGCACGCGTATGTCAGAGTGCGCGTGCGCAGGCGCGAGAGTCGGGGGACAGAAAGGAGACAGAGAAAGGGGGAGGGAGGGGGCGTGAGAGGAGGGGGTGAGGGTAGTGTTCATCCCACGAGGTGCCGCGAGGCAAGGGCTCTAGCTCAATACAGACTTGAACTACCTAGTTTACATACTCAGTATTTATAGAACAGCACAACTTATCCATAATCCTAAGATTACCAGCTGAAAATGTCAAAATTAAAACATCTTAGCTCAAAAGGGAAAGAGAAAACATTTAAGTTACAGAATTTCTAGAAAACAAATATACTGAAAAATACTATATATCACAATCTATGGGATACAGCAAAAGCATCACTCAAGAAAATTAAGTAGTTATCTTAAGAGAAACAAAAGAATAAAATTAATTAATTTAAGCATTTAATTCAGGAAATGTGAAAACAAAAATCTTTCCTGAAGGAAAGTGAAAGGAATAAAATAAAACAACTAAAAGCAGAACTTGAGTTACAAAACACCATGTACTTTTTGAAAAAGGAGAACTGAAATAAATTCTATAATAAACCACTACTAACACTCAACAAAAAGATATGACAAGGGGGCAACTTTCCAAGTTTTACATACATAAGAAATAGACACATACAGAGAGAGACCATAGTACAACCCTATGCAAATAAATGAAAAATCCTGATGAAATGGGCAGTATATTAAAAAAAAATGATTTCCCAAAAATGACACCAGAAAATAGGAAAATAGGTAACCTTCTAGGAAAATATAATTTCCCAAAACTGATTCCAGAAAAAAGAGAAAGCTTACACAAACCAATTTCCACCAAAGAAATAAGCAAGTTGTTGAGGTCTACCCAACAAGAGGCAAGCTCAGACAATTTTACAGAGGAAGTCTTCCGAACGTTTAGAACTGAATTATTCCAAGCCACTTAAAGTCTGAAGAACATAGAAAAAAAAGTTTCTTTTTATGAAACAAATATAATGATGATACCAAAAATGTGAAAACTGCACGAACATCTATAGACCAATCTAACTACAAACAGAGACGCAAACAATTTAAATAAAACATCAGACATACACTACGGGCAGTTAAAAGCCCACGCTGGGTTTATTCCAACAATGTTTTCAAATTAAAGAGCCTATTAATGTGTTTACCATAATAATTGATAAATAATATTCATATGATCATCTCCAGAGATGCTAAAAAGCCCTTCAACAAAATTCAACATTCACTTATATTAAAAATTTCAATAAGCAGAAATTAGGGTACTTTTTTAACACGATAACATGTGTATTTTGGCACCAGAGCCAGGACTTAATGGGAGAAACACTAGGGACACTGACTACAATTAGGAAAAAATGAAGAAATGCCCTTTAAAGTCAACTATTACTTAAAACTATTAGAGATTTTAGTCGATACAATTTGACAACAGAAAACATGCTAGAGATTTAAGAATTAGAAAAGGAATAAAATTATCTTATTGCAGATTATATGACTGAAAAAGTACTACATACAATAAAAGAATTAAGGAAGGGAGCAAGATAAAAAAGAAATACATGGTAACAAACAGCCCTCATATACATAAAAGCAACAAACAGACAATATCACGGAACAAAGACCTCATGTAGCATAGAAACAAAGATAAAATATTTATGAATACACTCACCAAGAAGCCTGTAAGGAGAACTTTATCATATTCCTTAAGGACACAAAAACTGACTTGAAATAGGAAAACAACTGGGGAAAGACATTTCATGTTCTTAAATAGACCTAATATTATAAAGATGTCAATTTTCCCTCAGTTCATTTAGAAATATAATTGCCATCACAATCTTTTTTTAAATCAAATTTTATTTCTGTAAAGAGAAAGCTGATTTTATGGCTTATATAAAAAATAAATATGCAAAGGTGTCCAAGACAATTCAGGAAGACAAGAGTAAAGAGAGGGGTCAAGAATGAATGTAGACCTGCCAGGTATTAAAATACACCAAAAAGCCTCAGAAAATAAAGCGTGAAATTGGTCCACGAATAGACAGACCAATGGAAAAGAAATTCCAGAAACAGACCTGAACACATACGGAAATTTGGTAAATAATAAAGGCCACATGACCAATCTAGCAGAGAAATGCTTAACTTTTCTATAAATGAGGAAACCAGTCATTTAGAAAAAAGATAAACTGTTTGCAATCTCTACATAATAAACTCAAAAGGATAACGAATGATTTAAATCTTAAGAAATTTAAGTGTGAGACAAAAAGATGGTAGAGGGCAATGAATAAAAAATATTCAGAGATATTCAACTTCGCTATTCAGAGAAATGCAAACTAAAACCATATTAAAATACCTGCTACAGCACGATAATGGTACCTATCAGACTGACAAATATCAGAATGATGACACCCTGTGCCAGCGAGGATGTAGGGAAACGGACACTGTCATTCATCACCAAAATGAGTCCCGAACAGTTCCACCCGGTAAGAGGAGATTCTGGTGTTTGTTGTCTGCTAAAATTATAAAGAAGTGCCCATGTGAGGCAGTGAGACTTTCTGGGACTCCATCTCACAGACACATCTGTACAAGCCTCAGATGGCACACGGATACTGTAAGGCTTGTAATAGCAGAAGACCGAAAACAAACCATGCCCAGGAATAGGATGAACTGTGGTGCATCCATAATGGAACACGACAACAGATCGTGAGAAAAAGGAGGAGGAATATTTCTATGATTTCTCATGATCAAATCCCCAGGAAGAATTGTTGTATGAGAAAAAAGCAAGGTGCAGAACGGTACATGTGGGATGTTGACTTCTGGCCGGAAAGAGGAGAAAACAAGTGCCAAATAAAAACTGGAAGGAAGGGTACAGAGAACACCTGTAACAGATGGCGACCACAGGAGGGGGGCCCAGGGCTGAGAAGGCCAAGGGGACCAGGTGGGAACACAACTTCTGAGTGTGCTTCTTTATGTGGTTTTGAGTTCTGAAAAGGCATAAACTATCTGAGAAATTTAAAAAAAAAAGAAAAGGTAACTCAAAGGCGTACGTGTGGATCCTTACCTGAGAAGGAACGCTTTTCGGCGGCTCTATGCGTATGGAAGGGTCCCACTCCCCCGGAGGCAGGACGGTTACTTGATCTAAAAATTCATCAATTCCAGACAGGAGGTCATTTCTGTCTTTTGCTTTATAAGCTACATCATGAAAAATCTAAAGAAAAAATAAACATATTGAGCCAAAGGATTTTAAAGTTGAGAAAACATTCTCTACACAATAACCCACTTTCAATATAAATATAAGTAAGTCCACAATAAAGACCATCACCTAAACTCTTATCCCAGAGGTCTCCACCCACCCTGGGTAACAACTACGAGAAACAGCCCACTATTAGTACTGCCAGATGAATTAACACTAACAGTCCAGGGTCCGGGGAGGCGAGGGGATAGCTCAAGCGGTAGAGCGCATGCTTAGCATGCACGAGATCCTGGGTTCAATTCCCAGCACCTCCTCTAAGAATAAATAAACAAATAAACCTAATTACCTCCCCCCAAAATAAAAAAAAATAACAATAATACAAATTTTTTAAAAAACTAACAATCCAACAAGAAACGAAACTAGTGATTTGTTAAGACATGGCAATTTTTAAAAAGAGAAAACTCGACATAGGAAATACTCAAAGTCGCTATAGAATAAAATAACACCGTGGTATGTCAGTCCACTTTTATGACAGTTTAATGTCATTTACTCTAAAGGAGTGATCATGGGGATGCAAATAATTTTACTTAAATAATTACTGCGTTTGATCATTGACAGTTCCTGGGTGCCTACTATGTGCCAGGCCTGGGTCTGAACACTGTGGACAGTACAGTGGACGCAGACGGGGCAAGGTCTTACACTCCAGAGCTTTGGCGGAAGGACACTGAAACATGTAACTACATAAAAATGTGACTGCAGGTCAGAATACATGCTCCAGTATAAATAAAGAGCTAAAGGAAGGGAAGCTGATGGGAAGAAAAGGCAGCCATGGAAGGTCTGTTAGGGGAGGCAGTGCTGTCTCCTGACATGAGGGAGTGGGGTGGGGTGGGGTGGGGGAAGAGCATTCAGCAGAAGGAACAGCAGCTGCCAACACCCAGAGGCAGCAATGAGTATAACACATCTGAGGGTCAGACAGGAAGCCGGTGTGGACGGAGCAAACGGGGGGGAGGAGGGGTGATGTGCAGAGGCACACAGATTTCACAGAGCTGGACTGGGCGGGTCTCCTGAGACAACAGTACAAAGTTTACATTTAAACAAACATACAACAGGGTGTCATTGACACATATGGAGAAGGAAGTTATTTACTCAAATCTTAATATTATTGACGGTACAGGGGAACACACCGTAAGAGAAAGACCCATATTATCCACTACAATCACCAAAGAGGTCAGAGACTCCAAGCCTGAGATGCGGCACTGGAGGCGGAAAGGAGAGGGCAGGGTAAACGCAGCACACACAGAAGAGGTAAAATCCAGGGTCTGGTGGCCGAGACAGAACAGGGAGGAGGCTGGTTCGGGTGTGGGGGTTTCAGGCACCTTAGGACAGAAAGGAGGGATGCCTCACGAGCCCCTGACTGCAAACTCTCCCAGAGGAAGAAGTCCTGACCAGCGTAGGCCATGCTCAAAGGGAAAGTCCGCAAAAGGAGGAGAGCGGTTACAGAGAAAAAGGGGAAAGGACACAGTCCTGAGGAAAACTGAAAGCTCCAACATCCCGAAATCCAGGATGGAGAAAATTTCCATATTTCAAGGTGGTCAGTAATTTCAAATGGGGAGCAGCGGGCGGAGAAGAAGACCAAACAGTATCCAGTGAGCCCCGACAGAAAGGGCTTAAAGGCCTTACCGAAGGCAAAGAGTTGAAGACTGAATTCGAGATAAAACAGTAAAGACAAACAGGGAGAGTTCGTTGAGCTTCAGCGTGAAAGGAAAACTACCATTTAGCATGTATTTTACGCATCACAACCAGTGTCCGCATCACAGGGCATGTGAGTTACCTCATCCGTCATGAGGGTGGCTATTGATCTTCCAATTTCATGGTACTGGGGCGCCTTGCCTGCTGGACCCAGTAACAGAAACAAAAACCTAAGGAAACATTAAAACACACAGATTTAAAAACAAACAACATACACACATAAATCTAGGAATCAGAAAGAAAGCATGCAAGCAGAAACACGGAAACAACACTCAGACCTCGGTTCCATCCTCACACACCAACGGATGAAAAAAGGATTCAGACCGAAGCAGATCACAAAACTAAGACAGGCATTCAAAATTAACTTTCTACCAAGGTACTACTTTCCATTCTCTGCAGAGTAAAACAGTAAGTAAAGAATTGAACATTTTACATTAAAGTTCCCACTTTCTATACCCTTTTGAATTTTGAATAAACAATTTTTTCTGCTCTGTAGTGATGGAAAAAAGTAAACTAGTAAGTAAAGTGAATACCAGTCTCATCTGAGTACTCGCTTTTGCCTAATAAAGTAGCTAAGAGCACGCACAAGAAATCCATGGTCCCTCAAACTGCAGCATGGATAAGGACATCAATGCGGTGAGTAAGGGACTAATCCCTTTACAAGGAAAAAGCAGTTGCATTCCTAACTCCAGATTTAACATCAAACGTCTTACTATTTGATTTTTAATTTATTTATTAAAAATAAATATTTATTTACTCGATAGTGATTAAATAACAATTATTTAACTTCCTATTCAGTTATATCCTTATCAACACTAATAAAATATTAATATTCACATGTATTCAGAGTGGAAGTACTCATCTTCCTGCTTTATGAGAACTGAAAGGTCAGTCTATGGAATTATGTTTCTCATTCATCTCAATACTATACCAGTAATACACCCAGTAAAGCTTATTTAAAACTGGCACATACATTTCAATCAAGCTGCAATTAATCCTTGGTACTTACTATTATAAAACTAATACGAAAACTTCTTAAATTATTCTCATTTGTAATTAAGTTTATATAATCAGTGGCTAACAATCGGATTACCCTTTATAACACAACTTGCTAATTCTCCTTAAAGGTATGATTACCCCCCACTTTTCATTTTTACTTAGAATGTATATTAAACAGAAGATCTGATCAGATCAGAATAAAGCATTTTACCTAATTTGGACACATTATTACATTTAATCAAACTTGTGAGGTACTGTTACCCTCACCTTAACAGGTAAAGCTTAAGAAATTTAAGTCTGGCTTGACTGTTCCACAAAAAGTAGCAGAGCAAGGATTCCACCTGCTCTCTCTGACTTCAGCACCTGCACAGAGCACAGTATGTCTACAATAATGAACTGTTTTTAAAAACAAAGCTCCCAAGATTCTGAACTTCTTACAAAAATATGAACACAACGTATTTTTTAAAAGATGCTTTTCTGTGGGTTTTGTTTTGGTTTTATTCTCAGTTCCAGAAAGAAAAGCTCTAATAGTCAAAGCATTGGTGAAATGACAACATTGACAATTAAAATGAGCCTTCATTACATAAAGCAACATGTTCCTCCAGTGAACAAAATGGCTTAGAGTTCAGACATGCCAGGAGAGCGTTACCTGGTGGGGACAGGGACCTCGGTCAGCCCTGAGAGGAGCACGGCGGGAGCCAGCCTCACAAACGCAATTATAGGTCTTTCCAAAAAGTCCACCTCTCCCACCAGAACATTGGAGGCCTCGGCTCCCGAAGGAATTTTTCTCATGAAATTCATGTCAACCTATTAACAAATAAATAATAATTAAAAATAAAGTACGCACGGTTTTTAAAAGGCTAGAGGGAAATAGGAAAGAAAAGATGCTTTTAAGACTACTATTTGCTAATCAAAACTGGTGATCTAAGGGATGTAGAAATGCCAGAATTCTCATAGATATGAAGAATGAAGCAGACAAATACCAAAAAAGCAAGCAGAGCACATCTATCAAACAATACTCCCAACTGTTTTATTGTAATAATCTTTGCTACTTCAGAGATCTAAATTACCGAACATACAAACTAGAGAACATTTTCAGTGTACATAGCACTACTGAGTAAAAACTATTAAAGACAAAAAGAGAGTTCACAAACTAACAATGGTCCATGAAATTATACACAGCGCTAAAAATTTCATTTAATCATTATCCATCGTTTAACCTTAGAAATGAATTAGTTCCTTTAGGTTTTATGTATTTTTGTAAGTCCTTTTTTTTAAGAACTCTGGGCATCCCCCAGTATTTTCATTAAGTGGGAAAAAAATTGTATTTTTATTTAAAACTAAAATAAAGTCATTATTGGTATAGATATATGATACTGGAGGATCAAATTTAGTGGGCCTGTGTATAATTACAAAGAAAAGGTTATGAACCAAATCATAACATGGGAACTTCTTCATTTATACGCGGGTTCACACAAGTCACTAAACGACCACTTACAGGGCTATCTATTAAAGTAAAACCAGCACTTACAGCGGGCCTCTTGAGTCCCACACCCAGTGTGCCACAACTACAGTGCCAGGAGGCAGACTCCTGCCCAACAGGAGGTAAGGACGTGTACACAGGGACAGACCAAGTGAAAAAAAGTAAAACTGTGACAGAGGAACAGAAATAAACGGCACCTGCCATGTCTAGAGGAGATCTACAATGTAAATCATATTGACTGATTCATTTGACAAGAATAAATTGCAATTTAGTTACTGAACACTTTACATGTAGCATCTGAAATCGCTGAAGCGCCAGCACAACTATGATCGACTGAGAACAGAAGAATTAAAAACACAACAGCCTTTCAATACAGTCGGTGTCCCACATGCAAGGCTTTTATCATTTCAGAGCATGAAGCTCACTCAGCAAAGCCGTAATGCACATCATCATTTAAAGTCCCTTTCTGCAAAATGTGATTTACAGATTTTGCATCATAAAATAAAGGTTTAAGAAAAGTAAATCTTACTTGAGATCATCACACTTAGTTCAAAGTCTGACATTGTATCCGATAGCAAATAACCATCAAAAAGTTACAATGGCCACATAGAAATCAGTTAAAGGCTTAAGGAAAATGAATCTTATTTGAAATCATCACATGTAGTTAGAAGTCTGACATTGAATCCTACAGCAAATATCACCAAAAAATTACAACGGCCACAGAAATCAATTATACAGAAGCAGTCCTCATGACGTATGCTTTAAACTCAACTGTAATTTGAACTTACAGTTTTTCGCCCTGTTCTTTTGAAATAAGTTTCCTTTTTCTATTTCATCTAAATTACTCATTGACCAAAGTTAAAAGCCATAGTTGAGACAGGTGAGTTATTTTTAAAGCCATGCCTTTATCTTTACCTACCCACGGGGAAGCACCGATCGTTCCCAGCGACATTCCGGAAAGTACTGACACCAAAAGACAGTAATTCTGGGATCACATTACAGCCAAGAAAAGGCTGAATCATTACTGCTGTAACATCATTCCCAGAATTCATCTTTCTAGTGGTGACAGCTCCAGAACAAATGACTGTAATTCAAAAGGTACTGAAGCTTCACCATATCTACGGGTAGGTACAGATGAGAATACCGTGTTATTCACATATTCTTTTGTCAGAATTTCTACAACTAGTAAGACATAACATCATCCAAGTGCGATGAGAGTGTTGCCTTTCTCACAATTTTTTCTCTCAAATTAACATATTACAAGCATCACGTGCAGATATGTAAGCACCATCTATCAAAAAATTATTACAATGAATGTTAATAAAGCCACATTGCGAGCGTGATTCTGAAAATTCAGAGTTAATAACAGAATTACCTTGCTGAAGTCAACAGTACTATTTTCTCTGCTTCCTCCACTTCCATTACCTTTCATTTCTCCACTTTTACTATTGTCCAAGTTCCCAGGGGCAGACTGCGGAGACGCCAAAAGACCTGCATTTAAGAACGAACAAATTCCAAACTAGTAAGGAGAAAATTCGCTCCGTAACCTGAATCTGCTCACATCCTGAAAGTGATGGTTTATTACAAGCAAATGTGTTAGGTTAAAAAAAAAAAAAGTGCCAAGTGTTAGTACCATTCCAGCAGGAGCAGAGTAACATTTTAAGCAGCAACGAAGCTCTGCACTTTAACGTTGAAAATAATACAATCGGCATTTACAAAAACGGTGGCCTTTTGCAAAAAGAAAAAAAGTGAACAGGTGAGCAACCACAGAAGGTAGAAGACCTGGGTCTGATCACCGCTGTAAATACTCAGGGAGTCCACTCTCAGTGCATCTAACATACATAAGAACTGCAGGGCTTAACGGTGCCTAATTACACTTAGCACACGCAGAGCAGTAACAGCAGAAATTTTCTGTTAAACCCCAAAGGTAACTCAGCAAATTTAAGAGTCACACCAACTAGATGTACACTAATTTTACTGGTATCTTCCATAATCTTAACCGTTTCCTCAAAATTTTTCATTTCTCAACAAAATCTTCTTTTCATTTCTCTTGGGTACCACTTATGTGCTGCCTGTTGTCACTAGTCTTAAGAAACGTTAAAATAAAATAGCACTCTTTTTTTTCCACTCTTTTTACAATAGAAATACAGAGTAAGGATTTTATAAGCACCAGATCTACGTTAAAACAGGCACTCTGCCACTTTGTAGCCATGTGACTGTAAGTAACTCACTCAGCCTCTAAGACTCAGACAAACTTATAAAATTAGCCTGTTTGGATTAGAAATGACAGATATATGTTCTATTAAATTAGCTTGTTTGGATGACAAACAGTAGATACATGTTCAAGCACACGTAGACTCATTTCACGCAACATTCAGCAGCAACATTTTACAACAAGAAAATAACCTAAAAACACCCTGTAACATATGACCAGTTGTTACCACTACTATGTATTTTGCAAAAAGTCCAGATCTCAAAAAGGTTAAAGGACATAACCCAGATTTCTACCATTAAATGTACCTATTTTTATCAAAACACCTAAGATTCTCTAGTTCAAGAATGCAGATTACTATTACCCAAAACACGGAGCATCACAGGAGAAAAGGCACTTGACAATTACAACAGACTTCACTTTCAGTTTTAACTCTGTTGCTCATGACAATCTAGTGACCCACAGAAATTCAGGTAAACTCTATTTGTTAGATCCTATAAACTTTAAAGCTAATACTGGTAATTAACTTCCAAAATTTTAAGCACATCTGATATACTCAACACATCCAATGGAGTTTCCATTTTAACAGAAAACAACACACACTAACTTATAACTGAAACTCAGGCATTTGAGTTTACTGCTTAAACGTGAAAAAAGACCACCTTTGGGACACCCAGTTCTCTGTTAAACTCCCTCACTAGGATGTCACTGTGACCCAAAAGTCCCAGCCACCAGATCTCTGGGAGAAGAGTGGGATGAGCAGAAGGCTCTGGGGCGAAGGCAGGACACAGGAGGAACGGGGAGAGAGGCGATGGGCGATTCAACACTGACAGAGCCGGCTTACCTGGTCACCTTGAACCTGCTACAGCTGGCATGCCAGGCACACCCTAGACTTTTCCACCATTGTCTTCTCTATGCAGTATGTCCTGATCTCAGCTAAGTTAAAGCTACTTCCTCAAAAGGTAAAGGAAGGCTTCCTGCTCCAACAGTAAATCCCTAGTGCTCAGAATTACGTGAGTAAATTCCCCCAAATTAAAACTCCCATCAGCACACATAACTCATACGGACTTTATTTCTTTGCATTAAGAAACAGAAAAAGCACGTATGAGTGTGTTTTATAAAATCAACGCTGGGATTTAAAAAAATCATACGCTGGTAAATCTGTTGTGTTGCCCACCTATTTTTCCCTCAAAGTTGCAAATGCACCTAGAGAAAGAGAAATCAAAGATAGTGGGATTTTCTGTCATTAAAAGTTGGGAAGTAGTCGGAGCTGTGGTTCTCATCTGGGGAAGATTCTCCCCCCACCCCCAAGAAACACCTAGCAGTGTCGGCATCTTTGGGTTGTCATGCTGGGGAGTGTACTGGCAGCTGGGGGTGGGGAGGCTGCCACACATCCCCCCTAGGATGTCACTGTGACCCAAAAAGCTCAGAATAAAAAGCAGACCCAACTTACTCAGCCATGTGCTCATTCTCTGAAAGTATGAAACAATCCTGAAATAAAAACTATTTCCTAAAACAACCCACCTTTCACTGTTTTAGCCTCTTCTGTGACCTTTGTCCCTAAACTTCCCTAGTAGAGGGCACAGGACAGCCCCCCACTGCACAGAAGTGTCCAGCCCAAAATGCCAACAGTGCCAAGGGCGAGAGACACCGAGTCAGAAGACGGATACAAATGCTAAAAATGAGTTACTTCTTTTACATAATTATTCTCCAAAAAACAGCTAATGGGAAATACCACTTTTTTTTAAACACAGGTGTTCACACATCATGACCCCACGACACAAAAATCTCTGACATCAGTCTCTCAAAAATGATGCTAGGCTATCTTCTACATCAGACTTCAAGAAAACTCAACTCGAGTTTCCAGGAGCTTTAAGTACCAAAGGTAATTAAGCAGAGGCCAACAGACGGCTACCTCTGTTATTTTAATTACATTCCTTCTACAGACATCTTCTTAAACAGTAATTATGAGGTCTCTTGTCCCTGGAAATTCCCCCTCTTTCCTAGGCCCTAATTTCTTTTCTTCAGAAAGGCTGATAAATCTCATGGCATACTTATGGCAGAGGGGGAAAAATTTTAATTGTGTTCCTCAGTTTTCAGTTAATTGCTCTTTTTAGCCTCTTAATAACATGACCTAATGAACCATTGTGGGAGCTGTATGTCCCTTCCTTCCTGTATAAAATTTAGAGTCCTTATTATTAATAACACAGAAGCTGCTGAAACAAGAAATGGTCAGTATTACTGACAGATCCAGTTAAACACAAATGCAAGGATGTAACTTTAAAGTCATTTTTGCTCAAGAAAAAAATAGTAAATCTTGCTGGTCCTTTTTAATTAAAATAAAAGTGTTCATTATTTCTGAGAAGTTATTTTTCTAGGTATTTTTTTCTCCTTTTTTGTTCAGTTACCTTATTATTATTCTATATCTTTTCCACGAATTATTAAAATTTAAAATGAAATTCTATACTATAGATTGTGTCATAGGCAGATCCGAGTTCAATTCCTTGCCTGGGTCCTTTATGATATGACCTTAACACCTCTAAGTCTTAATTGTCTTCATTTTACAAACAATAACATGCGTTCATCAAACTGTTAGACAAATCAGAAATACGATATTTGAAAAGTACTATCACTGTGTGTATAACAAACTATGAATCAATGGTTACTATTAGTACTGTTACAATTAATGTTACAATGATTGAACCACAAAATTTTTTACTTCTAAAAGTATCGTCTTTCTTGGCAACTACAGTGAACTTTGATTAAATGTATTTGGTATGTCTGGATAAAGCTAATAAAGAGAAGGTCATACAGTGGTAGGAACAAGAGGATTTTTAGCCAGAGAACCTGGGCTGTCCCTTAGTAGCTGGAAAATCCAGGGGAAGCTACTTAACGTCTCTGAGTCTGTTTCTGAAAAATGGGTCTATCCACCTAACTTGCACAAAACTTTATACACACGAAATTGGCTAATCTCGTAACGATGAGCTACTACTGAAGTGTGGTATACAATCAGTGTCATACAGAAATGTGACAATACTAATGTGATTAAAGCCACTACTTAGCATTCCTATGTCACACTGATGCCTAGCTGTCGTTAAAAGTCACTTAAAAAAAAAGCTACCTAAAAAGCTGTCAGTAAAACAGTCTCTTTATATGAACTGAATAGAAAGATGCATACGTATAAATGTACATATTATTAATAACAGGAAGAACCAAAGTTATCATCATAAACAGTAATCCTTAAATGAGTTACAAACCTCTAAGAAATAATTTTTCTAAGTCACGTACAAAATATACCCTAGCCACAACTACAGGAACTCTAGTCCTGAAAATTTCAAGGTGGATCTGGATTAAAGATTGGCATGAAACAAAGGCCAACTAAAGCCTATTCCAAAACATGGTACTACTCTTAAAATGACGGTGACCCCAGGCAGTCACTAGAGAGCCTCAAACTTCTTGGAGACCAGATGAGAAAACGAACACTCAATCCAACTTCCGTTAGGAAGGTCAGAACATAACTGCACTCTTTGGACAAAAGCACCGACGAGCAGACGAGAGGCGCATCCCCTCTATGATGTACGCCCAGCGCGTTCGTTCGCCTTGTGAAGGAACTGCACGAGAAAAGCCACCATTTTTAAAATCATGGCCAATTAAAAGGTTACTTATAAAAACGTCGACGTTTTTCGGAACCACTCAAACACGGTGACCTGTAAAATCTCAGTGGCAATTTTTGAAAGGGCTTAAGTGACGGGTAGTCTTCTTTGTAGTCTTTTTAAAACTTAACATTTTTCATAATGCTATCTTTCTCTATAATATACCATCAAGAAAAAACAAACAAACAAACAAAAAAACCCATGCAGAAGTCACGATAAATTAAAAGCATTCTCTACGTATGCTGCCAAAGCTCTGTGCTGACGGGCATTCCGAGTGCAAGTGACCCAAAGGCAGAAAGCACCACACGGGGAGGATCTGGAATAGTTGCCTGAAGTCATGTCAGCATTTTCCTCATCCTTCTGCTCCTGGCCTCTCAGTGCTTCTAAGTCTTCCTCGGGCGGGTGGATGACTACGGTGGGGACCCCGGCAGCGGCAGGGGACACCAGCAGCGCTGGGCCCTGCAGCTGACTGTGCTGGCAGCTCCTGGAGTCCAGGCGGCTGGCGCTGGGGCTGGACGGAGGGCTGCTCTGAGGGGTGGGTACGGGGCTCGCGCACCTCGAGCCCGCGGGGCTTCCAGCTCGCGAAGGAGGAAGAAGATGACTGAGAAGAAGAGACAAAGGCGAGTCTCCTCGCAGGGAGAGGCTGGAGGCCGACAGACCTGTTCGCAAAGAGTGGCGGGAGGCCGAGAGGCCTTCCCCTGAGATAAAACAGACAAATGGGAAAGGGTGAAATTCACTGCGGGAGGCAAATGAGACACAGAAACGGCAACTCACACTGTCAACTGCAAGCTGTGGAAAAGGTCCAGAATTTCAGATCCATGCTGTCAGGGTTAGTACAGCACACAGGTTTTTAAATATTAGGAGGTCATTAAAAACTGCTTATACTGTAATGAGTTCCCCGGAGGTAAACCCAAAAATCCAAACAAAAAATAAAAAGCAATGTTAATGACAGTCGGTGGCGGGGACAATATTCTGTTAGTCATGAGAACGCCTAACAGTGTGGATTTAAAATCAAGAACAGTATCAAAGAAAAGACGCTGCTTAAATAAAGGACAGAGCAAATAAGGACACAAAAATAATCCAAGAAAGAGAAGCCCACACAGAACTTACCGGCACTGACAGCTTATACACAGTGCATCTTTTCTACACTGAAGCGCTACAGATTCTCTCACAAGAAAAGGCCACGTTAATGGTATCTAATAATTCCTAACTTAAGATTGAGAGCAAATCTTTATAACGTTAATAACAGGGCAACGCCTTCTGACAGCACTCTCAAGTAAAATTTCAAAACATAAGACGAGTTACAGGAAATTTTTTTCAAAAGAGGAGCATAATAATGTCAATCTTAAAGGATATGTATTCTTGAGCTCAGTATCCAACAATATTAATAAATGTCCTAAAATATGCTTCCATTTCTAATATAGCAGACAAATTAAAACAAATATATACAACCTTTAATTTAACTAGCTAAGAATAAAGTATTTCTTACCAACAGCAGCAACACGGAAACAAGTTTAGAGAATTTCAAAAGGTAGTGTGGACTACACGTCCAACACCTGGTTATTCCAATGAAGAGTAGCTTAATGGAATAACATTGTTTTCTTAGCAAAAGCCTGAGAAATGTAACAATTTCATATGATCTGCGTCTCTAAGTAATCAAAGTGCCGTGCTCAAGAGATCCCAGAAATACTACAAATAAAGATTAACCTTTAATCCATAAACCACCACTAAAAAAATTGCTACCTCACAATAAGAATAATCAAAAATAACAGAATGTCCATGCGAAAACGGCAAGTGAAAGGACACAGCCATCGTCCTATGATTTAAAGGAACCAAATGACAGCTGGAGAATAATCCGGAAGTACTGCACATGGGGAATAAAGATTTCACACAGTCTCTGGGTAAACGAATCCATTTCACCAAAGTAGAGCATACACAATACATGGAAAGATGAAAAAAAGATGTAAAATGTGACATAGATGATTTGCTTTTAAACTGAATTTAGATCCATAAGAGATTTCTTTTACTCTTAAGGTTTCTTAAATATACAAGGGCACAATTTTAGACAGATTGAAAAGAGCTGCCATGGTCAAATGCGCAGAAGAAAACAGACTTAAGTATCAGACACAAAAGGTGCAAAAGGTGACTACCGCCAACTTCAAGTATGTTAAATCCTGTCACCTCTGACCGTTCGCGTGAAGAACATTTACAAGCCACACTGTGATTTTAGACACAGAAAAGCTGAGCAGAGGCCTTGCGGCCCAGCCTCCATTCCTGTTCACTGTGATTCTCCTAAGCCTTGGGGAATGGGGGCCCCTAGAAGCAACAGGGAGCCTCAGAACCAATCCAGTCCTTTGCCCCTGGATTTTTCAGAGTCACTGTCGTCAGAGCTATCTTTGAGATTCAAATAGAACCCCAGTGACAGTGTGGCCAGCCTTAAGACAGGGAGAGAGGTAAACAGCTACAAAAACGGTCTCCCTGCGTCCCGCCGGACCCACGGCCAGACCGTGAGTGAGCAGAGAGCTGCCGTGCGTGGGGCTGTGCCATTCTCAATGGCTTGATGACATTAACCGGGGCACCCCTGGCATAAAATAGGAACAAACATAAAAACCTGTCACACAAATTAGATAAATAACAAGCAGTGAAATCAGCAAACCAACCCCAAAATACTTGTTTATATCTGGCAAATAAAATACACTCAGGAGAGAAAAAAAGTCGCTAAGAAAAATCTAATAAAGATATTAAAGGTCCAAACACAAGATTGAGAATTTTTAAAAGATTAAACTAAACTTACAGATACTAATTTATGGTTCTTTTATCAATTACACAAAAATTCCTGAACGGAAACAAAAAAGCAAAAAGGCGAGTAATTTGGGGTTAGGTAGAGTGAAGTGTTCAAATATCGCCAATACCTAACTGTCTCATTTTAACAGAGTAAACGCTTAATTTTTTCATCTACATAATTTCTACAGATAATTCTGTCATATTGTAAAGAAAGACATTTTAGAAATGAAATCTTTAAATGCACGAGTATCATTTTTTTAAAGAATTAAAAAAGATAAAAGGACCTATGTAATTATCTAAAAAAAAAGACCTTTCTTTCCCCAAATACTAATTGTAACACACTGGAAATGCTGTTAGAGCAGAAGCGTTAGAAAAAACTGGACGCCACAACTTATCTCACCATTCCTTTCAAGCAAGTGAGGGTCAGAATGTTTCTTGCCTATGTCTGCAAAAGATCGAACAAGGGGAATTCGACTAGTGAATCTTTTCTCGTTCTGATGGTGATGTCTCTTCAGAAGGGCTTCTCTGACATTCTCTCTTATGGATTCATCCAGCTGGCCCGAGGCGATCATGTTGTCCAATACCATATCTAGGCGAAGAAAAACACACAGATAGCAATCATTCTTATTAAATAAACCAACACTTGGATGACTATGACATAGAATAAACTCTAACTGAAATCTTACCAGAAAAAATAAGAGCCTTAAAGAGCTCTAGAAAGTAGCATTCTTTTCTAATACTGAAAATACTGTGTGCATAACGATATAGATGAGCGTTAGCCAATGAAAATGAACATATCATATAGAGACCCTTATTTGAATAAAATGATTATTTGTAAAAAGAATTATTATTTATAATGATCATTCATAAAATGAGTATTTATAAGTGACTATTTATAAAATGATTATTTATAATAAATGATTACTTATACATC